CTGGTTCAGTACATGGTCTGCAGTGGTCCCACACTGCATGCCACAGTGACTGGTGCACCAATGTGACAGCCTTACAGAAATCCATGTGACCATTTGTTAAACAGAAAATGGTTGTGCAATGCAGGCAGAAAACAGCAAGTCAGTCATATGTCTATCAGGCATGCTGAAGCTGTGTCTTATGGAGAAGGAAAAGATAGTTCTTTGTAAACACTGTAATTTAGTGGGGTATAGCATAGAAACAAGATTTATCCTAGCAAGCATTTAAAAAGTTAATTTTAAAAGTAAAAGCCTGCCTCCACTACAAAAGGCATACTTTTAAGTAACAGCAATTAAACTGTCTTAGCAATATATAGTTTAGGGAAAAAAACCCCACATTTTCTTTCCTCATCTAACCCATCCTCATTTTCCTGAGCGCTGTCTTTTCCCAGAAGCATACTGTGAAGACAACTACCTCTGGTAACTCACATTGTAAAGACAGAGCCATGCTAAAGCATAAGTGACAGACCAGAGCCACATACCCGAGGTTTTCTAGTAAGTATCTCACATATCTGCAAAAAATCTTCCTCAAAGTGCAGAAAACCATGGAACTGTGTCCTTGGTCTGGTCAGCAGAAAGCTTGAAGAAAGCCAGTCAGAAAGGTGTAAATTTTCTGTACAACAAAGTATGTATTTGACCTACCTGCTAGCAGACCTTTCTCAAGATGTGTAAAGGAGAAAAGGTCCTAGTGAGTTACCCCCTGCTGCTGCATCACCGTGGCCCATTACAACGGCATTAGCAGAGTGTCCACACCTTCCTTCCTCTCAAATGAAACTAGTGATGCCACTGTCTCCCACCAAACTAGCAAATGTGCTTTCTTGGAGCAGCCCTCAAAGAGGGGTTTAGCAAACTTGCTTGGTGGTAAGACTGCAGTCCTGCTTGAGGTCTTAGCTAGATACCTTCCCAAGGGAAAAGTAGCCCCATATCTCCCTAGCTACTGCGATGCCTGAAACTCAAGTGTGCTCTTTTTAGAGCACAAAGTCAAATAGAAAGATTTGTTAACTGAATGTGCAGCAGTGAAATCTACCTGCAATAAAATGTGGTGCAGCTCTTTTGGTTTGTTTTCACATTTTTTCTCGTAGAAGTAAACCACTATTCTTGCCTGGGACACAAATAAGGTCTCCAGAAATAACACAGGCAAATAGCAACAAATGTTGCCAGCAATCCTGTGACGTGCCCTAGCTTGTAAAAATGACACTGAAACCTTTGACGTGCCTGATGTGACTTGTGACTCTTAAGGATCTTCTCTTGTCCACTTAGCAGTAGTTTCACTCCTAGAGGGGTTCTCTAGTGACTCATTCCTGTGGGGGAGTGTAGTGTCCACAAATGCAATGCCCAATTGGATGCAATGAACAGTTTCAACTGAAAACCCATCTTCACACATTCAAACCATTTAATTGCAAACAGGTTTTCCTTTCAAAGCTGCCTTACGATTTTTGGAAATAACCAGATACAAAACAAAAACTTCTGGTCAGAGAACGAGGTTATCACAAGTACACAAAACACTAATTTAGGGCTGCAAATCATGTGATTTGGCCCCAAACCATTTTGTTCACTGCTTCCCATTTTGACAAGGAGAATTGAAATGTTAAGAGTTAAGTTTGAGCTGGATATGCTTATGAGTTTGGATGGCTGGGCTTTATTTTTTCAGCTCAGCTAAAGTTGAAAAACAATCCTAGACAGTTTAGCCCAGAGCACTCCCCAGCTCCGAGGCTGGTTGCATACCAGGCTTAGCAAAACAGAGGCATGAGCTAGCAACACGCAGCAGCCAGTAAAGTCAGGTTTCAGAAAGTCTGTACTAGATCTCTGTTAGGCTGAGGTTTTTTCAGATTTTACATTATTCCCTACTGTTTCCTCACTGCCTAGGGTACTCCGGGGAGCGGAGTACCCTAGGGTACTAGGGATTCTGTCAGCTTTTTCTTCCTCCGACTTCAATCTTCTTGCTCTGAAGGATAGTTCCTTATTTTTTGATGAACTGTTCTTGTAGTTTCTGCCTGTGAAACACAGATACAGACCCCTCGGACTTGTAAGATAGCTGTAAGACAGGAAAAGGAGCATAGGTGAGAGCAGCCCCTAGAGCTAACAGCAAACCAAGGAACGCTGCAGTCCTTGAGCTAGGGAACTGGCCATTCTATGGCCAGTGGAGTTTCCTCTTCACCACCGTACTCCTTTCAGACACCCAGTACTGAGTGTACACATCCATGATCTCAGAGAACACAAAGGTCAGTTGCCCAGACAAAATAAAGCATCAGCTACAGGGGAAAGGGCTCCCTCTCTTCACCCTCCTGGCAAAGGAGCTGAGGACCATAATGAGAAGAAAGCAGGGGCAGAAATCTCAGGCGCTTTAGCTCTGGGCAGGATTAATAACCTCCAGTCACTTCCCTCTCCCTTCCTGTTATGGGGACATACTGGGAAAGCACTTGAATCCTAACAAAAGGATTGGGGCAAACAAGAACCAGAGAAGCACATACTTAGTTTTTTAAACTAATAGTAAGGCAATTAAAGGTGATTTGCATGGCAAGTTCAGCAAATTAACATCAACAGCAAACCCAGAGTGCTGAGCTAGGCAAAAAGGTTGCAAGGCTAGATGCTGGTGACATTTCAGGATGTCATCCCAGGCTGTGATAAAGGAATAACAAACAGAATACCTACAGGGTAAAGGTAAAATCCCAATCAGATACTTATTTCTTATTTTTTATTTCAAAACCAGGAAACAAACACATTAATAAGCATATAAAATCCATCCAAAATATTCACAATGCTGTTACAGAAAGAGATACCGTGTGAGAAAAGCCTACACATTTCATTTCAGTCCAAGCCAACACACATCTCTCATGTAAAGTATGGAATGCTCTTATGCACAGCTGTAGGGGGAATTTCCTAACATACAGATACCCATACAGAAATATATCTGGAAGTGCTGAAGGATACAGAAATCTATGTAACTGAGTCAAAATATCAAAGTTGGGAAATAATTCTTATATAATACTTCTGAGAATAGTATCTGGCATATAAGCCTGATAAAAAGCTAGGGAAAACCAGATGTAATATGATTGCATTGTGCAAAGCTGGAGTATTTCAAATTAATTCATGGGAAGCATTTCACAGCAACAAATTTAATCTTTGCAACTGTTTCTCATTAGGGAAGGTAGAAGCATCACTAGTTACTGAAAATGTCAGACAGATTCTCCAGAATATACATCAATGGGAACTTCTCTAACCCGCTCTGATGTAGCATGTTGACAAGAAAGCTTAGGCTATCCATGCTACAGAAGTCTTGCTGTTATTCCTACCTTTCTGAGCCTTTCTTCCTGATACCCACCTTGTAACCTGTGGGCTGACCTCTCCACTGCAGTCAGAGAAGTAAAGCTCCCAACACATGACTCTGTGTATACCCTATATGCTACTTTTTGCCTACCTGAACTGAACTGTGCTAGCTTGGCAGCAAGGGTAGGTTTACATACATACTCGATTGCCCAGCAATATGATGAGCAGGGAGACCAATATTTACTGATGTACAATTACTGTCTGCCATAGCCTTTCAACAGAGGCACTATTACAGAGCTGTACACATGTACACAGCACACCAGCGAGCACCACAACAACATCATGCAGATCTTCCAGAGAGGATATATGGGGCAAAAACAAGTGGCCTGCAACCAAGCAGGGGACTGAGCACTGCAGACTTTTCGCACTGCTAACCTAGCAAGTTCCAGTAGCTCTGATCTCTAGTCCTGCATCTCTACCTTTGAGCTTACATGTACCATAACTGACCATGCCTGTGTCCAGAAGGGTCATGCTACATGCCTCTGTCTACTATTTATAACAGTTGCTAAGAAAATACAGCTATACAGCTTCAAAAAATAATCTGATACTTGCATTTCTTTAAGTAACCATCTGCAAATTTCAGACTTTTATGACCTACTAGAATACAACAGAGAAGCCAAAAAAAATAAAATTAAGAAAAGGCAGGAAAAGTTACCTTCTGGTTTGCAATCACCACCCTCAATCATCCATAGAATGCTTAAAACCATGTCTGAAAATATAATCTTAACAGCACCCGTCGTAAGCTGCACCACCACACTTTCTAATCAACACTTGGGAACAATTTAAAATAGCCACCAAAAAATCCCTAATAACAGAGATTTGGTGGACAAACATACCTCTTCTCACTAGTACACAATTCTCTGAATTTCTTTCCGGAGGGCACAAAGAACTTAGAGGTGATGTGCATAATTGGTTCTGTTGTACATACCATCCAAAACAGTCAATGTCCTTTTTAGTACCACATCTCCTTTACAGTCTTATTGCACCTTAAGTCTACAGCATCTGTTGTTAGAATAGCTATTTCTCTTAAACTTCTTCAATTTCTTTATCTGTACATTTTTGTACACCATTAAAAAAATAAATATTTACAAAGTGACATACAAATAAATAAACTGAAGTCAAAGTATGCTTTCAGTCTGTCTATACAAAAAAATAAAAGAGCAGGAAAAAATATGCATGTGACTTGGTCCCCTTTTTCCTGAGGCTAAAAAAAGTGTACACTGGATAGGAAAAAGCAAGATGGCTTTTTGGTAGGCTTGCTAAATTCCAGTGCGCACACACTCACAAAGTAGACTCAAAGGGCTGGGGACTTGTTTAGCAGGTCACTTCAACTCACTACAAAAATAGTAATTAGATTCAAATACATAATGGTCACTGTGTGCATAAGTATGTTAACCCCAATGGTATTTTTATATGAGAAAAGCAAAAATATTGTCAACTCTTCTGTTCTCCTGATGTTTGTGTTTCAGGGAAGATGAGATTATTTTGCAAGTGCCAGGTGCTTTCCAGTATGGCAGATTACCTGTATCAGATTTGCTCAATGCTGGTAAGCCTGGCAGAATGGGTGAGCATGTGGGTGCAAAGAAGAAAATAGCAGCAATTGAGGAGGGGAAATGTCCCAGTTCTCATGTTTTCTGTTGTTCATTCCTTTAATGACTCTTTAAGCATGTAAGAGTTAAAGAATGGGTGTGTCATAAATCTTAGGCATCTTCTTTGTTAGGCTGTATGCTGTTCAGCTCCACCATCGGGTTCTTCTCTACAGGGGATGTGGTGCTTGCTTCTCCTCTGCCTTCAAAGCCCCTGGAGATGTCTTCAAAAGTCCTGCCCCTGGTCTCCGGTACTTTGAAGAACGTGAAAACAAAGAAGATGACCAGGAAAACAAGGAAGATGAGGAAGACGTAGGGACCACATAGTCTCTGCGGGGAGGACAAAACCAAAAGGTTTTTATTTGAAAATAAATCTAAATGCAAGGTCATTTGCCACTGGTCAAAATTCCCAATACTCTTCTTGAATAATGTTCTGACATTTTCTCATCACAGTATTTTGTAAAATGAAATCAAGTTCCTATGGATTTCTGAAAGGCTTTAATGTTCCTGGGGGTGACTAAAATTGAGGCTTTCGAAGGCAAAACCTAGTTAATATGGCTCTTCCAACTATTTCTAAGCTACAAGCAGCTAAGAGAGCAGAATGTAAGGTGAGCCACAATACTGCTAACATTCATTAACAATCATAACATTGACTCAGGGACCTCTGGAAGACTCACCAGCCCTCTGCTCAAAGCAGGGACAACTTCCAGAAGAGGTCAGGTTCTAACAAGCTCATGTCCTAGGATAGAGAATCTACAACCTTTCTAGACACCTATTCCAATGATGCAGTGCTCTCAAAGTGCTTTATAGACCAGGACTTACCTCTGCATAGGGGAAGAGCATTCCCACCAAGAAATTGGAGGTCCAATTGGAACAACCAGCCACTGCCATGGCTGCAGGCCGTGGGCCCTGGCTGAAGAGTTCTGCCACAATGAACCATGGGATAGGGCCAGGGCCAACCTCAAAAAGAGCCACAAAGCCAAAAGTGGCAACAATACTGATGTATTTGATCCACTCCACACTGTCCTGCAAGTGAACAAAATATGACTAGTTGCAGTTAGGAGGCAAACATGCCACAGCACAATGGCATCAGTGTCAAAACTTTTTCAGTTGCCCCCATCTCTCCACTGCACACTAGGAGCTAGTCCCAGCTTTACCTGCCTACAGGGCAGAATGGCAGAGCAAAGCAGATGTATATATACACACACGGCTCCCCTGCTGGGGTCAGCCTGGACAAGAACACAAATTACTCACCTTCAGAGCTAAAGCGATGGTTATAAGAACAGCACACACTGCCATGCCACCCAAACCAACTAAATGGAGGGTCCTGCGCCCTGCACGCTCCACCAGGAACAGCTGGAAACAGAATTTAAAAAAATCCATGACTTTGGCAGGAAGGGCAGGACAGGCTCCCTTACACAGCATCCTGCACTTCATCATCTGTTTGTAACCCTCAGTGACAGAGGTAATCTCAGTGCAGTCACCAGGCTGTTCCACCCTCAGCACAAGATTTTCCACTCTGGTTCTTGCTAATGCCTTCTCATCACTCTTCCCTCTCGAACTTTTTTCACCTTCCCTTTCATCTAAAACAACAATACCTCTTTCTGCCCAACTCTCCTCCCATAATGCTTTTGATACATTCTTTTCTTTGGCCTTGCAGGCTATTGCATAGCCCAATGCTTTGCCACAGTGGGGCAAAGGTCTGCCTGGGCCTTTTTGGGAGATGTGACCGAAGACAATTCACCTCTCACCATACGGCCCTGTTCTACTCACCGACACAACAGTGAAGATCGTGTTCACCACACCAGCTCCAATAGTGGCATACACAGGCTGTGTAATACCAGCTCTTTCAAAAATCCCTGTAGAATAATAGAATACCTGGGAAGAGAAGCAGAAGTAGGACACTCATTCCATGTTTGAGAGCACGCCCCTCATTCCCTGCCTAATGGCTTTCAGGCCCAAAAGACTGTTTCTAACCAGCATTCTTTCAATCAAGAGGTTCATTCACTTGGTGCAAGGCTGCAGCGTCTTGCCATGGTGTGTGTGGAAAAAGTGATAGTCAATATAATATCTACCTTTCATCTTAGCCACCTCTGCTGTATCACAAAGCAGTGACCTCCAGTTAAGGCACAAAAAGTGGCTTTTGGAAGCACAGTTCTCTCCACATCAGTGGCAAGTTAAGCCAGAGATAAGGAAGGCCAGGCAGATGCAAGAGGAAGGTAACTCACAGCATTGATGCCTGAGAGCTGTTGGGAGAGCTGCAACATGATGGCAATGATAATGGCTTGACGGTAGCTTGGAGAACGGAAGAGCTCTGGCACAGTTGCTTTTTTTTCCTGTGACATTTTAGCACTCTCTTCTTTCATCTCCTGGATGTCTTGAGACACATCTTGTACACCACGGAGCTTTTGGAGAACTGGAGGAAGGAATCCAGTGTTAGGTATAATACATACATCTACTGGCTGTGTGTGTGTCCTGCCCTGCTATTTCAGGGAGGGCACAGGAGGAAGACTGGATCACCTTCCAGTCACTGGTTAGGCCTGCTACATGAGAGAGACAAGCCTCTACACGCAGCCTTGCTCATCTTTCCAAGCCAGAGGTCAGGGTGCTATGATTGGCATGGAAACCAGGCCCAGGTCCTGTATATGTTGACTGATCTCCAAGCTTGTATTTGATACCCAATTCTGTTCATACTCTCGGTAGAGCTGAACCCCAACTCCAAGCTCCTTGTTAAATGTCAGCCTATTTCCTGCCTTTCAGGAGGAGCTGGCAGAGTGGCAGCAGCTGGCTCTGCTATATCCCACCAGGCCAGGTGGCACTCCTCATGTCTTAATCCCACCTGGAGCCTCTGTTAGGATGCCAGATTTCTCATGCTTCCTGGCACTGATGCAACCCAAAGGATGGGAGGGTAGGCCAGGCCTGATGCCCTCCGGGAGTCACACCCTGATCCACCACAGGCTCCAGAGTCAGTCCTGGCCTCCCACTCAAGTCAAGTGCAGGCTGGGAGCCAGGACACAGCCCAGCCCCTTTGAGATGAGTTCTTACCTGTTTGTGCTTTCTCTTCCTCCATCTTGTTGATCAATAGGAAACGAGGGCTCTCAGGGCAGAATATAAGACCCACACACTGCAAGATCGCTGGGAGGACTGTGAACCCCAAAAGCATTGGCCAAAGCCCTTCAGTCCCCATGATTGACTCCAGGCCAAAGATCTGCACCAAGAATTGGAGAGAAATGAGAGAACTTAAACACTTAAATTCCTCACCCCCAACCCAGTGAGTATTATGCAAGCACCTGATAGCAAGTACAGCCCTCCTCACCCTCCCCCAGTCCTCCTTTTCCCCAAGGGCAGGATGAGGTTGTGCCAAGCCTACCTGAGCCACCAGGATGCCCACAACAATGCCCAGCTGGTTGAGGGTGCCAAAGGCTCCACGGAGGCTGGTGGGCGAGACCTCACTGATATACATGGGCACAAAGCCAGTGCAGAGACCACAGAAGATACCAATAATGAAGCGGCCAATAACCAGCATCTCCACTGCCTTTGCCAACTTAGAGAAGGCCATGAGAAGGCCACCAGCAAAGGCCAAGACATTAACCAGTAGCATGGAGTTCCTCCTGCCAAGGTAAAGATGTCAAGACTGAGCTTAAACCGGCAACACAACAGAAAAATCATGGGGAGAGGGGTAAGCCTGCCCATGATGTCCCATCTCAGGGGTGGGAGGAGAACAGAATAATTTCCATTCAGCTCCAGCCTTGGCCTGCAACCTTTTCTTTTTGAAGCCCACACATTCTTGCTTCCTCCCCAGACACATCCTCCTCCCTTCTTTTCACCCCTGCCCTCTTCCCCCAACACTCCATTGTAGAAGGGAAAAATTCCTTAACAGCTTGGATCCCTCTTCCCAACTTACCTGCCAAATCTGTTGACAAACAGGCTGACTGAGAAGGAGCCAACCATACCTCCTACTGAGAAGATGGCCACAGAAAGGGACCACAGAGAGGTGAGGAGCTCTGGGGAAACAACACCCCCACTCCTGTCAGACAAGGTTTTGTTGAAGAACCCCTGGATGATCTACAAGAGAAAGCAGGTGGAGACAGTTACAATCCAGTGGTAGGAATTTTGCACTGGGGAGAGGGAAGGCTACTGTCTTCCTTCTGCTTCTTGCTGTCATAAAACCAAGGACAGATGCAAAAATAAAATAAAATCAGGAGACGGCAACAAGTCATACAAGCGGAAGATGAGAGTGCAGAAAGAGGAACTTTCATTGAGAAGTTGCAGTATGATGACTGAAGCAGTGGCCAGACAGGGTACACACAGGATGGCAGTGTTTGTTAAGGAAAACAGTCTTCTCTTCTGATTATTTTGGATTATTGAGTCACTGCTGGTTCTTGGGAAGAGGTATGAAACAGTTGAGAGTGAAAGGAAACAAGAAAATATGACCAGAGAATGGAAGGGAATGTATCTGGCAATACCAAAACACTGGCAGCAGGGACAGACTTTCTGGTATGGAAATAGTTAAAGAGACACAAGGTTTCACTGAAGTAAGCCTGAAAAACAGCGTTATATAGAACAACCTTTTGTTGTCCCATGGGAATGTGACAGTGCTGTGTTGCTGAGATAAAGAGGGAAGTTCTGCATGGGCTGGGGGGGACAGAGCGTCTGCCCCCAGCAGATGGCAGCAGGACATTAGCTAGAGAGGACTGTCCCCCATCCCCCCATCCCATCAGTGATGTGACATGTCTTCCCGGAGGCAGGGTGGATGTGGTATTGGTGACTCAATGCTTGAGCAGAGGAACCATCTTAAAGTACATGAAAACCACGTATCTCATTTTCTTGGTCTCTTATTGCTTAGGCTACAGTCATGAGATGATCTGGTCAGAGTGCCCAAGTCACAACTCTTTTAGAAGCACTGAATCTATACTTAACACAAGGAATGAATAAACAAAGTAAATAAACCTGAAATAAACTAAACTAGGGCAACTGTAATCCCTACCTACCCTACACG